CAAACAATCCAAAATGTGCACAGTCTCGAGAAGTTCCCTTAAGTGGCGTCCCAACTCAAGGGGAGAGTCCCTGACTGCAGACCCGCTGCTCCGAGGAGGACCGACTCAAATGAGTCTTCCAAGGGGGCCCCATTTATACCCTGATCTGTGGTCGGTACATGGTCGTGTCAGCCCCCTATTGGCTGAGGACCCCAGTTTTCCCACCTTTGACCCCCACTGTGTGGCCCAGACATGAGCTGTGAAGGGGGAGGCAGTCCTGGCACCACCAGGACCAGAAACTTTAGCACTGCTTTTGTTGGGCCTTTCTCAGGTCTTTAGTAGGGTGGGTGCATCTGCCACAGGAACCCAGCAATCATCTACACACAGAAGTTGTGAATGCTAGTGAAAATTGAGTTTGAGTTGTGATTATTGATGAAACGAGTCTGAGGCTTCTGCCTGGGTTCACGTCGCTGTTAGTTTTCAATGCTCATTGCTGTACTGCACTGTGGGAAACGTGCTGAGCAAGAGTAAAGTCCTTCCAGCAAAACTGTTAAAACTATACTGGAAGGATTGAAGTGAAGACTGTCAGCCTAAGCTGTGCCAGCTGGCTGCGAGTTCAGATGAGGCCCTCAAGCTGATGACATACACTGACTTAGTGTGGATCTGGCCCCACAGAAAGAGGGCTCCTTTGGCTTAAGTTAAGAGGGCATAGTCTTCAATCTAGGTTCAGATCCCATTCAGCACCTAAAACCTGCTGTTTTGTTATAAAAACTTCGGTAGGTGAAAGAGTCTGAGGTAGAGGTAGAATGGGATGGAGGGAGCTTTCCTGGCAGGCAGGATATGCCTGTTTCCAAGGCCTCTTTTTCTGTGAATTTCTGAAACAGCTGGTCCTGATGGGTACTGCAGGGAAAATTGCAGCGGTCTCCCATAGCATCCAGAGGGTGACTGCTTTCCTGAGCCCTGTCATCAGGGTAAATCTATGGTCTATGCTGATGCCCTGGTGCAGGAATGGGAGCTTACTGGGTTGTGGCAGGCAAATAGGTGAAAGTTTGCTCCACCTTGGTGGCAGAAGGTCAGACACGGACATCGGGTGACATTTCTTAAATGTGGAGTTACTTTCTTCTTCTGCCAGCTAAGTGGCTCTCATATACATATATAAACTTGGAGTTGACTGCAATGAGGGTGAAGGATACCCACCCACAGGTATTTGTCTTGTAGTGGTAGAAATAAGCCTGTTTTTAACAAATCACAATATTGTGTTTTGTTTTGAGATTTATTTTTAGGAACAATGTTATTCAGTTATTTTGGCAGAATACCAGAAGCTTTTCTGGTGATTTTTTTTTTTCCCTACTTTGTCTTTGAGAAAAAATTTAAATAGAAAGGGCAAGAATTTTGTTAAAAGATGTGGATGAAACTCACTTTTCACAGAAAAGGAATATTTTGAGCTGTTGTGAACACTTTTGTATTGAGTTCTCGTAAGAGACAGCAAAATTATTTTTCTCCCCTGAAATCAGATTGTGCTACTCAGAATTAGTGACAGGAAGAAAGGCAAGCAGGGAATGGGAGAAGGGAATTGCTTGGAGGTGTTGTGGGAGGAGAAACAAATTGGAGGTGTTTTTCAGGGAAGAGTGGTAAAGATTTTATAAAGAAGCTTTGGGCTGTCACATTGCTTTGGAGTGAGAGCCTACCCAAGCCCCCCAAAAAAGTTACTGTGAAAAATGAGGACTGTGAAGGCTGGTGGGCTTGGACTCTGTGGTTGTGTGTGAAGTACCTGGAGAAACTGTTCAGCTTGTTGTCTGCCCAGAAGGAGGTGCTCTCCTCCCCAGTGCCATCTACCATACCTTCCAGGTGTCACAGCACCTCTGTGCCCCGCATGCAATGCAAACACCAGCATGTGGACTCTTTTCTTGGGGGAGAAATGTGCTGAAAACGAACACAGCTTGCCAGGCAGGTTTTTTTTTAATTTAGGTGCTGGATTTGTTTGTTAAACACAATCATCCTTCCCCGTGCCCCTACAGACAAATCCTGTTTGGTTGCATAGGCTGGAAGGTGGGGGAGACTAAATGGTCGGTGTGGTTGGTGCAGGTTACTAGTCCAGTGTGGAAGCAAACTCTCTCATACCGGCTCCATCAATTCAGAGCGATTAATGCTGCATCTTAAAGAAAAGCTGGCATGCTGTTGCACCGAGTGTTAAGAGTTTGCATCTGGCTGTATACTGCAGAGCTCTCTGCCAAGAGAAATACTGATTTCCGAGTTGTTAGCCTGCTGTTTGGAGATTTAAAATTTTTTATTATTATTTTTGTTTTCTTTTTTTTTTTTTTTTTTGGAAATCCTCCCACATTAAATTAAAACTGAGACCTTGGTAAAGGAAATCAAAAGGGATGCTTTGAGATGCTTCATTTGCCAGCAGTCTATGAACTCGTGACCCTTTAAAATAAAGTACTTGGGCTTTCCTGTGGGATGGCTCCCATGAGGTGGAAGCAAGCGTCTTTCAGGCTTTCGTGCCTTTAGGAAGGAGATTTTGACAGCACAGGAGAAGTTGCAGTGCAGCATTCTCAGCTGGGACTTCCAGCAAGGAAAGTTGTTCAGCTGGTTCGGGACTGTGATAAATCATGGTTCCCCTGGAGCACTCCGGGACTGCAGAGAGCTGAAAGTAAATGCTAGGGAAGTTCAGCTTTTGTAGTGGGCCATCTTTCAGGATGATGTATGGGTCTGTAACAGAAAGAGATTCCTGTGCTAAGGCTGGGAGAAAACTGCTGCCTTCCATTGGGAAGGAAAATGTAACAATTCTGTTAATGTAAACCCATGCTGCAGTCTTGCCCTGAAAGCCATGCTTTGGCATGGGCTACCTTAGCCTGAGAAACAAACTGTGTGATACTGATGGAAAAGAGCTCCTGAGAGCCCAAAGTGGTGGCAATTAGTTGGGGGTTGAAGTGGGATGGTAGGTTTGGCAGGAGGGTATGGAATGGACATCTAGTCAGCCAGTGTAATAGTGCCTTACCAAATGTGGCTGTGGAGGGCATCAGATGGCATGGGATGCTGTTTGCATCTCTGTCCCTTGACTGCAGCATTGTCCTGAGCAAATAATTTCTCTGAATGGATAAAATGTCTTTTCTTCAAATTGCAGTCACAGGAGCATATGTCTCTACTTGCTTTCACTGACCGTTCCCAATCAACTTGAGATGTTTGACCAAGACTTGTTAGCTGGTGGGTATCTGATAGTATTTTAGGTTCTTCTCTGTTCTTCATTAGGGCTTGGATTGCCAAGAAGTTGGGGAGAGCCTGAGTTCTGTGTTTGTGTAGCAAGCAGAGTCTCTGTCCTAGTTACAGCTGATGTCAGCCTGCGTGTAGGTTTGTCTGCACTAACTGTGGTTTCTTCTGGAGCTGTTGCTGTATTTTTGTACTCTGGGATTTGGTAGCACTGTTAAGGAGACCCAACCAAAAAGCCAGAGCCAGCTGCCTTAGGGCCTGGCTCCCATTCCATTGCTGTGGCCGGATAACCAGGGAAAAGGAGAAGCATCTGAGTCTCCCTCCGCTCATGCCAGGGCTTTGCTGCTTATAGCAGCTCTTGACTGGGGCAGTTTGTGGTAGCTGGGACATGCCTGGTAGGAGGCAAAGACTTCTTTCCATTCCCATGTGCTGGCACAGTGACATTGGCAAATGTTACTGTACCAACTGAGATGCTGAGATGCAGAATACAGGAGGCAAGGGCTGCATCTGAACCAGTGCCATGTTGTAACAGAAAAACTGAGTTAACCTTTCATAAATCAGTTGACGCAGATCTGATTGCAGTTTCTGATACTCAGGCAAAGGTCTTTATTTCATTTGGTCTTAACAGCAAAAGTGAGATGATCAGTAAAACTCATTGGTTTCTCAGGCCTACCATACTCGGATCAGTGATGTTGCTAGTGTAGTGATGGGGTGTTTTGTCTTCCCCCCCAGGTACTGTAAATGTTTTTGACTTAACAGGAGAAGAAAAAGTGATTCCGTCAAATCTGGTTGCTGTGGGAGACAGTGACTCAACGTTGCTCCTTGTTTGACTTACTGAGTTCTCTTGAACTGTACCACCAATTAACTTGCTCAGGTTTTTTTTTTTAATTACTATTTTTCATCAACCTACGCAGGATCCTCGTATGAGTTTTCACAGTTCTGTTCATAAACTGTTTATTATCTCTGAAAGATCTGTTCTGCTTGGTCAACTGCTTCATTACCTTTGTTTGTTTTGTTCAAATTCCCAAAATGGTAACTATACACTCTAGTGTCAACTCAGTCAACTCCTGGGGTGTCATTTTTTCCACTCAAATGATTTCCAGTCTGTTTCTCTGAGCTGTAAATGTCGAGGTATCAGTTTGTTTACCTTATTTGCATGACTTCTGGCTGAAACTCAAGAGTATTTACAAAATTTAAAACTTTGCAAACTTAAATCTGGGTAACTGATGCACAAGGGGACAAATAACTGGCATTTCTCCACCAAACTGGAAACGGTAGGCAGGCTCTCAGCTCGGATTTAGAGCAATGCAGTGTGTCCGAGTGCTACCCACATGTATGAGGTCCTGCAGGCTGACAGCTGTAGCTTGTACATGTCTGCTGCTGAGCTTGAGTCCTTCACCGCTGTCCTCCAGTCTTATGCTGATGATTGGCCTAGGGATGGTGCGGATGCAGCAACTCAGGATCTGAGCTGCAACTTAGCTAATTCCTTCACACTAACTAGAGAAATGCCAGTGATTGTTCTTTTTGTAGGCTTTAATGAAGAGTGAACACCACCACCTCAGTGTCTGGTTGAGAGGCAGACCTGTAAAACGAGCAGCACATTTTGGTGGATCTGGACAGTGGCTTAATTTAAATGCTGTCACTTGGCCTCCACCAATGTCCACACCGTCTGCACTTTAAAAACTACTGCTGTATATTACCTTTTCCTGGTCCATGGACTAATTGCCTTTTACATGTGATACAGACCACATAAGAACTGTGCTTTCCTCCCAAAATAAAAACTAAACTAATTGCAGTTTGTTTCTCTCCAGCTGCCTTCTGGGGAGATATCGCTTTAGATGAAGATGATCTGAAGCTGTTTCAAATAGACAGAACTGTTGACTTAACAAAGCACTCAGATGGAAACGCAAGACACACTTCAGGTAAGGGCAGCCCGGGGGTGGTGAGACCTTCTTTTTCCTGATTTTATCCTCAGGGAGAAAGGAGTTCGCTCTCACTTGTGGAGGGAGGTGCATGCAGAGCTTAGTTATGTGACTGAGGGTGGGACACAACTCTGAACTTTGTTAAACAACAAACGAATTGCAGTTTGATGTAGCCAATCCTGTCTTGTCTGAAGGAGAAGATTTTCAAATTTGCTAAGATTCTGGGCAGAGGTGGGCTGTCCAGCTCTTCAGATTAGGATTGATTTCCTTGGAAATGCAATTATCCTGGTCTCTTTCTACGATGAACTGCCTTTCAGCAAATTTGGAAGGAAATGCGTTTGAAATAGAGATGCTTGGTTTGGCATTAGTTTTGACTCTTACTGTCCTCTCCCCCTTTTTGTGTGTTGTATGATGTTAATGAAATAATGCATTTTTTCAGCTGTCCACCTAGGTGAAATCTACTGCAGTCTTGCATACAGACTACCTTTGAAGTGATGTTATAATTGAAATAGGTTGACAATTGTGTTGATTTTCTGCAAAGCAAATAAATGGGGTAACATATGCTTATGTTACCCCCTACACAGCTCTTATGCATGCTCAGTCTTGTGCCAGACCAGAGCTGTTTCTTGACTCAGGAGCTCTGACTGGACTCCAGCTCTCTCAGTCTCTGGAACAGTCTGCAAGGGTTTGGAAGTCTCCTTGTAGTATTTTTGCCTCTACTCAACTTTATGCTGCAAGAGAGAAATCATTGGAAGTCCGAGCTCTGAGAGTTACCAGAGGAACTAGAGACAGAGCAGTTTGGGACAAACTTCTTTTCTCTCTCTGCTGTTAAGCTCCTGGGTTAGCAGGTAGGGTGAGAGGCTGGGTAGAGGCAGAAATAACTGAAATCCTATGTTTGCCTGACCCCTGTGCATCTTGGCTCATGTGATATCATTTGTAAGGACTGGTGGCTGGTTCTGTATCCTTGTGACTGCCTAGCTTTGGTTTCAGAGCATCTAAATGCTGTATAGGTCCTGTTCTGGGGATCAGTGCTCCAGCTTCATGTTGGAGTGAGTGTGAAAGGTGACACATCCAACACAGAGGGATGCTTTCCATGCTGATGTAACTGATTAAATTCATGCAGTTACTAAAATTCTGGGCAGAGGCAGGCTGCCCAGTTCTTCAGGTTATGGATTGCTCCCTGGAAATTCAATTATCCTGTGGTGTTGTGTCAGTTAGCCTGTTCATATCATGTTTTGGGCTGTGGAGCATTCTCAGGTGATAGGTGAGTAGGAGTAGATTGCCTTCAGAGCAGAAAGTAAATCAGAAAATAAGGACTAAGTAAGTGGGACAGGCAGTGTTCATCTCTTTCACACCCCTTTTGACAGTTTCTGAAGTTAGATGAGGAGACTACTGGGGAAGCAAAGCCAGACGGTGTTTGACTGCATTAGCTTGCTCTGGTGGCTTTTTCAGTTGTTGCATCTAGCACATTTCTTTCACTTAGCATTTGTGCCAGACCTGCACCATCTGGCAAATGAACTGAATTTTATAACCCACATCTGGATCATGTAACGTAGGTGCTGGTCTCTTACAACCATGGCTCATGTTGTATGGCTGGACTAGTCTCTTCTTGGCACCTTTTGTTGACTGAGGCAGAGCTGGTGCATCCTATGATGCTTCCCATGAGGTGAATGGTTATGTCACGTCACTCACTTGGCCCTGTCCTCATCTTTGGCAGGCTTGCTTCGTCCCGTTGGCTTTCAACCCCTGGAAGTGCAAGCTGACAAATGGGCAGCCCCTGTGACTGTCGTGCTTTCTGTGGAGCATGCACAGAGAGTTCTCTGTGTTCACCTGCTCTGCACTGGGACTCTCTGCAGGAGCAGGAGAGGTTGATTCTTCTCTTGTGGGGCTTGCCTGACATTCATGTGAATTGTAAGAGGGTGGTCTACTTCAACATGGTGGGGATTGGGACCCATTCTTCCCTGGGAGAAAGTCCTGCTCTCTGCTTTTTTATTTCCAGTGGGAAGAATGCAACCTCTGTACAGAAGCAGCCTAAGACCTTTTATGAATAGGACCCCTTGAATTATAACATTTCAGAGTTTCCTAAAGCTGTTAATCGGATTAGTTGTATAGTGGAGGAAGTACTTAATATGTATATACAGATGCACAGGCTCTTCATATCTGGGAGCTGCAGTTCTGAACACACTATTAGGCCAGGCATTCTTCTTCCCTTGTGTTGTTTCCTTGTCTTCAAAGAATGCTGTTTGGCTAGGAGGAGGGGTGAAAATAGTGCCATTTGACACTGTTGGGTTGTTTATAGGCATGCACCCTATTAGCTTGTGTGGAGCATCTGCAGATGTCAGGCTCTGGAGAATGAGGTTCCCATGTTCTTATGGGTGGCAGTGGACATGGTTCTTCACTGGATCGAACTGGAGATGGTCTGTTTCAGTAAAAGCTCTGCCTTGGTTTGTGAGGGCTGAGACTTTCAGATGTTTCAAGGTTTCCCATTCCAACTCCTCCTCTTCACCTTCTTCCAGTCTTGGTCTAGAAAGATATCTATACCCTTCTCTAGGCCTTTGAGAGAGGGACAGGGAGTCTGACCTGAAGACTGTCTGAATTCTGCCACAGATCTCTGTGCTGAATTTAATTTCACATCATGGATATGCTTCAGGCTTGGTTTCTGCATTAATTTCCTGCTTGCAGAAACACCATGATCACTATTCAGACCCTTAAGCTTTTTGACGATACTTGAGATTGGTGCCTTTTCTTTTGCTGAATCAGCAGCGCCCTTGGTTTGGCTTCTGGAAGAATGGATGCCTTGAAGTTCAGTGTGTCCAAGCATTTTCTTGGAAAATTTGGAGCAAGCGTTTTATTCTTGCCATCTGGGATGTAAAGCAATAAACCAAATAGCATTGTCTTTCTGGTGAAGTCACAGAGCAGGGTCATGGTTCTTTCCCTCTGAGGGACATTGGCTCAGAGCTCTCTGATGATCCTCTTGGAGACCATTCATGTGGGGTTTACAGTTAGGGGTAGCTGTCTCTTTGGTACCCAACTTTGTACCTTGCTTCAGAGCTCCAGCAATCATGTCCCTCTTTGGCTTTGTCTGGATCTCTCTGTCCACTGTGTCTGGATGATTTTGTGTGATTGATCACACAGGGGATTGGCATTGCACAGGGAATGCATCCCTTCTGCTATGTACTTCAAGCCTTTTGGAGTGCAGAATATGACCTCATAATCCTTTTTCATATAAGCAGTCTCCTTTCCTCCAAAGGAGCTTCCTCTCCAAGGATTTGTCAGGAAGAGCACAGGTTGAGCAGCTGAAAACTGCAGGTGGCTTTGCAATAGCATCTTACATGCAAACATCGTTCTCTGATATGTTCGTAGCAGCATGGTTTTCTTCAGGCCATGTTAAGGGAAAGGCAGACATGATGGCAGTCTACAGCCAAGTCTAGCCCCATTTAATCCAAGTAGTTTTAAGGTATCTGCATGTTGATCTCTGTTGACTTGGTTTAAACTCTGAGCTAGTAGAGAGCATTTGCAAACAGTGCAGATGAACTCTGAGTGAATGCCAGGAGACGTGCTCTTATAAGAGAGCACAGGATTACCAACTAGTTCATTGCTCATCTGGACCCTTTCAGGATTTCCCTGAAGATTAATTCTGTAGTGCTTTCCTCCAGCTGAGTTTTAAATATCTACAGTAATATAACTTCTGTGCTCCTTTCCACAGGTGTCTCAACTTCAGCTTTGGTCTACCTGAAGCTTAGTTTTACTCTCATTAGTGATCTGGTAAAAGAACTGTTTAAAGTTGCACAATTTGACCTCTCTTTGAGTTGAGGCAATTTTTTTCTAATTTTCTAAATCAGGAAAACAAATGTTTGTTGTTTTCCCCCCATTATCTGCACTTCTTTGAAACTTAGGTCCTAAGCTCAGAGAGCTTCTTGTGTTCTTTTTGTTTGCTGCTTTTTATATTATTAGAGAAGGCCAAACTATGCCCTCCGCATCATCTATTCATCCTGCTTCTACCATCTGTAATGCCACATAAGAATCTGCCGAACAGGGAATTTTCTTCTCCTCCTTAAAAAATGTTTTGCGGCTACAAGGAGGAAAACCAGTAAGGGATGTTGTTAAAATGAAACTGTTACTTTTTGTTTAAAATGTTTAAATTAGCTGCCTCCCTGTCTGTTTCTGTGGGATCACGTTTAGATGTCATGTTTGCTATGAAAATCAATTGTTCTCATGCAATGCTGTTGAAGCGGATACTCTCAGCATTTGGACCCGTAGAGGTACAGTAATGGTTCAAAACATAATGAAATGCATCAGGTACCTGGAGATCTGCCAGCAAGCGCTATCCTCAGCAAGCCTGTGTTTCACCGACTCCTAATCACTTTGATGAAAGATTTTTTTACAAAGAGCTTACGGTTTTGAAAAGTTTCTCATAGTTTTTTTTTTTTTAATTTAGAGAAAATATTTGCTTCTACATTTTAATTTTAGTTTAGATGAAACTTGAGTCAGAGCTTTGAGAATTCCTGTGCTGCTGAGAACCCTCAGATGGCTTTGAAATGTGGGGAAACGAGAAAACCCCCAGGCAGGCTGTGAATCTGTGCAGTGTCACCTCTCTTTTGGATCCAAGTGAGTCCGCTGATGCAAGGTGGTTGTCTGTGCTTTATTGCTTTATCTGCTGAAGCATTCACCACAGAGGAAGAAGGCCTTTTCTTTTCTTGTCATGACTGGGGAAGAATATGCCTATTTAATCCTAACGGGTTTAATTTAAGTCTGTTCAGGCAGTTTAGGGATTAAGAAGACTTTTCTGATATATTAACTCTTTTTTCTGATTCTTTTGTATCACGGAGGCAGTTTCTAGTCTTGAAAGGCACTTCTGTGAGTGACAAAGGCAAGTTGGCCTGTTCTGGGTTTGGCATCAGCAGATCAGAAGACGCGGGAGCCTGGCTGCCCTTGCCGATGCCACGCTGCACTGGCCTTGTTGCAGAGGCACTGACTCTGTCCTGCTGCTGCCAAGAATG